AATGCAATAAGTTGTTCATGGAGATGTTTTTTCAGGATCTGATGGAGTTCAAGTATTAAGATTTGCATCCTATGGTGCAAAAGTCAGTTATTTGGTAGGTTTCCAGTTATGAGCTCCAAAAATCTTGTTGCTTCTTCCTGTAGCAATTGTGAATTTCAAGATAAGCCATCGAGTGCTTCATACAGATTTGTTTCCTCACATAAACTGACACCAAAATAGATTTATTGAATTCAACTCTGCTCGAGCTGAAAATGTCACAAAACTCCATGTTGTAAAGATTTTCCCCCCACCAACCTCATTCAGGTTCATGCTGCATTTTTGAGATCAGTAAACCAGCCACTTTGCCACTATCAAAACACAAGTCCACATTAAGATTTAAAAGATTACATTTATTTCAGAAAGGGCAAAACATTTCATAAATACTGAGCAGCTCATTGGTATAGACCCAGACATTAAGCCAGAACTAATATACATGCTTGAGAAAACTGGATCAAGACTAGAATCTATCCAACTCAAATGCAGGCTTTCCCTCATCTGCATATGGCAAAATGTCATTAAATGCCAGTCTACAGTGTCATTTTAACCAAGCAGCAACATGAGACTTTGAAACCTTGATTTGTGGCTTCAAAGTCCAACTCAATTTAGGATCCAACTATTCTGCTAGAGCTCAACCCAGAAAGCACTTATAATAACTCAAATGGTTGATCAAGTTTCACTCCCCACATCTTACAGCAATTGTTCTAAAAAGCTGGAAAAATCCAAGCATGTTCACAAGATGGACAGGTTAAGTCAAAAAGGACAGTTTAAGCTGAATTGAAGGTTTCTGGCAAACGTCGTGTTGCTCTTAACACATGCAGAAGTCTTTTCCCCAAATAGGTGGGTCATAGTTTTTTCTTTCAACACAATCCATTCCATAATCACTGTTCATAAATGCAGCAGTCCTTCTCCAGGTCCAGCATAATCAGCCGACATGGCAATCAGAGCATGGTGATGAGTTGATATGCGACATGGTAGACTGATGTCCCTGAAGGACCCAGAGAATCTCCTTTATGATTTTGGGTTGGGCAGAGGGCGTCGGAACAGCAAGATGTGTGGCTCTGGAGGAGGAACACCAAGAAAGTTTCATTATCTTGTGGAAAGTAGCAATTTAAGTCTTGGGGGGGCAAGCACATCTCTTGTAACTCTTAATTAAAAATAGGGCGTGCCAGCCGTTTTGTTTTTTTTTTTTTATTATTTGGGCCACAAAATCCAGTAGCAATGACATCTAGTCTGCATCACCTCAACTGCAGATACCTAAGTTTTAAATTACTTTATTTAAATGTTAAATTCTCTTCTGTAAAATTAAATTCTTGTTTTAGACTACTGATTGGTCACCTACGCCACCTGATCATTCTCAGAGCTTTAGTTAAAGGTAACGTCACAGAGTGAGAAAAACAATAGTGGTCAAAGTGATCAGCTGCAGTTTTAGTCTAATTGTGAGTTGGCCTTTGCTGCAAAATGATCACCATGAACTATTACAACTTGTCTCAAGTTTCAGTTCAATATGATCAACAAGCTACACCACCATACACCCACCAGCAAGCACAAATTACCAAACCAATATTTAAAATCATGACGCTGTCAGTTATTACCTGGTTGGTGAATCATGTAATGCACCCATCCTTGACTCTGTTGGACACCAAGGTTTCTCCACTCGGTCTCCGACATAAGATGGGTTTTGGGAACACGCTTGGCAAGCTCTTTGGGTAGCATTACATGCCTGTGGGGGGAAAAAAGGTAGTATTACATTCTCAACGCAGTTGCGTTGGGCATTAAAAAAAAAATACTCATGATGTGTCGTGTAATGAGCTGAAGCCATCTTCTTCAAAGAGTCATCTTAATAAACCTTAATGTAACTGCATGTCGTAAAAGCATGCCTTACGTACCTGTACTCGTATTTGTCGTCGTCATATTTGTCAGAGTAGTAGATCTGTTTGTGAGACATGGTGGTACCCTGTGGGAAATGTGTTTTAAACATTAACGGTCACAATTAGAGAAAAAGGAAAGACGCTAAAAGAAGGCTACATGAGTGTAGCTATGCTATATCCGTTCAAGCTAGGTCGACGAGACTTTAAAACATGTGTGCGTATTTATCGTCTTAAAATCAAAGTATGTGTTGTTGTCAATGCCCAATACGAATAGTTAAGTTTAAGAACTTACCTTTTGTTTTGTTTTTTCTAATTAACTTTCCCAGAGATTTTAAAAAAGCCAACTATTCCAGTTATTTCGCATCCGACAGCGACGATTTGTTTGCTCTCTCTTTGTTTCCCTCTCGAATGTGTGCGAGCCCGCTTTTCACCGTTCAAATAGACCTCGCCTCGTCCTATTGGTCAATACGACCGAAAAACTCGTCTGCTATTGGTTACTTCTATCTGTCGCAGGACATTAACGTAACTAATTTGATTTCCTAATTCGTCATCAGGGTGGAAAAATCTGGGAAAAAAAACAAAAAACAAAAAAACAAACATTCCATTTCAGTCCAAAGTTCGACCACAATTCTGTCCTGACATGCTTTGGTGTGATTACATAACCAGTCCCAGACTGAGCTTATAATCGTTTTTAGCGGTGATATCGTGAGAAAGTTTTAAGCCTATTATAGTTTTTGACACTGTTTTATTCAATTGAGAGAAAGGTGACGTCAACAAGGTTTCTTCTTATTTTAGCTCTAAATTTTTAACATTTCAAACGGTTTTACTTCAGTTCGTTTCCATGCATTTTCTCATTGTATCTTAGTTTTTATTTTATAAGAGTTTATATTATACAAGTTTCCGTATATTTTTTATTATTATTATTAGTAGTAGTAGTAGTAGTAGCAGTAGTAGTAGTTTATTTTTTTTAATATAATTAAACAGATAACACTGTGATCTGTAGTGATAGCTGGAAGCATGTGGAAGAGAGCCTGGAGAGGTGGAGGTCTGCAGGTAGTAAAGATGGATGACTTTTACATACTTTGGGATCAACTGTCCAAAACAATAGACTTTGCACAATAGAGCTGAAGAACGTGTAGGTGGAGAAGATTGATATGTGAAGAAAGAATAGCATCGAGAATGAAGGTTAGAGAGGGAAGGATGAGATGGTTTGGAGATATTCAGAGGAGGGATAGTGGATATATTGGGCAAAGTTACTGAATATGGAGCTGCCAGAAAGAGGAAGACCTCAGAGATTATTCATGTATGTAGCAACATTAGTTTTAGTTAACCAGCCTATAATTTATAGTCTAATGTTATCATTTCCGCACCTATGGGCATTTTCAACACCCTACATGTGTATCTAGAATCTCTTAATTTTTTACTTCTAAATAAATTCTAAACTGACCTTTGCCCTGAAATCTCACCCAGTCTCACCAAGTTTTTCTAGCTCACTTTAGCTTGGCCTGCAGTACTTCTGTGAGGATTCTTGGGCTTAAGTCCCTCCTACTTAGGGGCTTAAAACTTTCCTTTTTAATCAAGCTCACATCAGGGACAGATCATGTGACCCTGAGCCACCCCTTATTTATGCTGGCTGCCCATTATACTAAGCAATCCTCTGCTTTTAGTTTGTTTGTTTGCTTGTTTTAATCAATTTTAAATCATGCTTTTTATTTGTTTTTGTTTCTAATGTCTCTGTAAAGCACTTTGAATCACCTTGTTGTTGAATTGTGCTATACAAATAAACTTGCCTTGCCTTGCCTTGCCTTTTCTCTCTTTCCCTCTCCAGTTATTAATATATGCCACCATCACGTTATTATCTTTGTGCCCTCTCTTTCCCGTAGTTTGTCCATTGTCCTCTCTGTGTTTTTCTCCTGAGCTGAATGTTCTCTTATCCCCCAAGCCTGCAGAGTATTTATTGTTATATTGTTTGCAGTGGCTTTGTGCTCTTCTTTTCTCACCCCACTGTCAGATGGCCACCCTCCCCGAGCTTTGTTCTGTGCAAGATTTCTTCCTGTTAGTAATGAAGGTTTCTCTCCCAGTGCACTGTCCTCATTTGCTTGCACAAATGAATGTTTTTTTGTCTTTAATATTGTAAGGCGAGGTTGTTATATTACAATGTAAGAGTCCTGGGATTACTTTTGTTGCTAATGTGCATTACAGTATGCACAATATAAATAAAATCTAAGAGATCCATCTTTATGCAAAAGTGTTTCCCTATTTCCTGATTTTTCCCTCTTATTTGTCACACTTACATGTTTAAATGTAATATTAGACAAAGATAACATGAGCAAATAAAAAAATGCAGCATTTAAATGATGACTTCAGATATTAAGGGGAAAAAAGCTATCCAAACCTAGCCCTATGTGAAAGAAAGAATTGCTCCCTAAACCTAATAACTGGTTATTAATGCAATTCCTTTATCACACAGGGCCAGGTAGGTTTTGATAACTTTTCGCCTTAATATTTGAAATCACCCCTTAAAAACAGCATTTTGTATTTACTAGTGTTATTTTTCTCTGATATATTTTTTTTTTTTGATGATCTGAAACATGTAGAGTGACAAAAAAAAGAAGGAAGGAAGGCAAATACCTTTTTACACCACTGTATGTGTACATTTACCTCTGGGGATAGACCACCAGAGTAAACATGAGCAGGCCTAATCTTTACCTTTTAACACCCTACAAGAGAAAGATATATATATATATATGCTACCATTTCTCCCCAACAATCAGTTATGTAGTTGTGTGATTGTTGTTGTTTGATTTAGGAGTACAGAGGTGTAAGAAGGAAAGTGCTTATCCCAGAGAAAACACTTAAATTACTAATTTTAGAGGAGAAGGGGTCAGATGATGAAATGAGTGCCCACATTGGAGCAATAGTGGGAAAGGGGTTGTCCACTCTGGCAAGTCCCGTACAAATATAGTTCAGCAGACGTGTCAGTGAGCGACTGGTGGCTCCTGTATATGTGTGTGTATCTTGTGGGATCACACATGAACTTGTATTATTATAAACCAAGGAGAAAGAGCCGGGACCATAACCTGCCACTTTCACCTGCGTGCGTCAATCAAGCTGGGATGCACGTCGCTTTCCTGACGCGACACTTTTATCCGATTGGTCCAGCCATGATTCGGGGGCGGGTGCTCCCGCGGCTTTGGTGAAATCCCATTGGATGTGAGACACGTTGGTCGACGTGACGCTACTTGGAATTCCCGAAGTTCCCAAGTTCAGAGGAGAGGAGCTGTGCTCGTGCTAAACAAAACAAAACAAAACAAAACAAAAGCAAAGCGCTTTGAAGTGGAAAACGCCGAGAGACTCAAGTGTGAGCACGCGGGGTAAATAAACGTCTTGTTCGCGTTCGCGGTGATGGAGCCGAGCTCGTGTCGGGGGGCAGCCTGCTTAACAGCTGGGCCTGAGTGAGAACGCGGAAGAGTGGGAGTGGGAAATTCAGCCAACCATCCTTTGTTTACCATCATGAGTGAACCTTGAATTTGGTTGCTACAACAACCACAGCCGCCCAGCATTTACCTCTTATAAGAGCAAATCAGAACCTTAGCGCGCGCTAGCGTTGCCGATAAGTGAGTATTGACCTTTATTTGCACGCTTGGATCAATGAAGTACCCGTACAGTTTGGCGGGGGGGGCTTGACCATTTTTGGGCATTTAACTGCTGCACAGATTGACTGGATGAATGGATTTGAATGAATGGCTGGCTGGAAATAGCAGTAGCGATGAATGCAGTCAGGAGATTCTTGTTTTCTGCACTGACTGAAGCCTTTGTTTCACTGCGCAGCGGTGTATTATGGATGCCTCCGTTACATAACTTGAATCAGCGACAATCTGCTCTTTATCCCGTTTGCGTTTGCAAGGTTTTAACTGTGCCACAACTGCGCGATTCTGCCCTCTTTTACCGTAGTTTTAAAAAATTGCATGCGAATCCTGCATAAAATCACACACGGCTCATCGAGTTTGTGCATTTTTTTTAATGTTCTCAACTGCGCCTTATGCACCTGAACACGTTGTAGTCGGGTTATTGCATGTTGATAATGAGGCTCACATGTGTGCATTAGGCGTGCTCGCTGAAGACACGTTGTTTTTGTCGTCATATGCAGGATTTTTAAAGCTCAATCTGTCCCGTGTGCTGTGCCAAGTTAAGCCTGACGGGGGCGATGTCTGACAGCAGCAACAGCACAGGCAGCACAGGCTCCTCCACCAACAGCTGGACCCTCCTCTCCCCGGAGGTAAGACGAGATGAGCATAGCTAAGGAAAGTCTGGGTATCATTTGGAGCACCATGATTATTATCCTGCTCCATGAATACTGGTTCATTTATAATTTGTCTTGTCCTAACCTGCAGCCCAGAGCTGCTTAAAGTGGGAAACATCCTGGTGAATGTTTGCAGAGCGCCAAATTGTGCCTCATCAGGCAGATAATGTGCACAGTTCAGATGAAAATAGGATTTATTTCACTTTGGCCTTTTATCTGTGCTTTATTTACACTATTCTAGCAGTTCTCATACTTTATCCAATAATGTACCCCTCTGGAATAGCTTTCTATGCCACTTGGCTATCTGACCAGCACAAGGTATTTATAGCAAGCAAATATCCCAGTATACACTGTGCCAACTAAGATGATATTGTAGTCACACTGAACTGAGTCTTTCTGGTATGTTGCACCTCAGATTTAGTGACACACATGTGCTTGCACTTCGCTGTGAACCGTTGTCATTCTCAGTGGCAGAGAGGCAACTGCAGTCAGTCGGTGTGATATCCAGCATCAGGGTTTTTGAGTCATGAAAGAAAAGCTGCAGTGGTTTCAATCACAAATTTCTGTTAATCATTAAATATCAAAAACGGGCTTCCCACTCACAGTGACCACACTGAGGTTTAACAGCAGGTAAGAGGTGGCAAAACAGAAGTACTGAATGTAAAATGTATTTTTTTTTAATTGAAGTCATTACTGTTTAATTGTTTCTAGAACTATATATAACTGGCTTTTAATTCAGCTTTTATATCAACAACTTGTATCCCATACAGTACTCAACTACACAGTTGTTTTTTTTGTGTGTGTGTATTAGCTCAGTATGCAAGCATGACTTGGCCTGTAGTAAGGCTGCTGTGGTTTTAGGAAAACCTTGTGTTACGCTGAGAGGTGTTACTAATATTTTACCCAGCCTCGTTTGTTAGGATAGAAAAACCAATGACAGCTGCATGGATATTGTTTTGTCAGTTTGGGTTGGAGAATGTGTAAAAGCTCATCAGACAGTAGTTTGACTGTGATTTGTAGCTTTTGTTATCAAATATTTCAAGATCATTACAGGAAAATCTGACTCCATAATTAATTGGTAAGCAGTGCCAGTTGTAATCATTGGTGAGTGTGAATGCTACTCTAAATGTCAAGGTTATGGCTACAGGTGTAAATTTTTACCAGCTGGTTCTCATTAGGTCTTCTCACTCAACAGGAAGCTGCCATTGAGAATGTCGGGCCCGTGGATGATGGCACAGAGAGCCTGGGGGATGTCCCCAGTCTCTCAGAGGAGGTGGCAGGTACTGACAAGTCAACATATCTGCCTGGTGTCTAAAGCTTTGACCTTTTCTTGGGTTCTACATCTTTGTTTTTGCATTGTGTCGGTGTTATTTCAGGAGCTGCTGTGGAGTTCAAACCCGTTGGTATCCCCATAGAAACTGTACTATCTGAAGAAGGCCACCAGGTTAGTAACTACGCAGGAGTTCATTAAGAAGACAAAAATTCAATCACATCATATTTAGACTTACCAACTGTGCCAAATGTATTGCTGCTTGACAGATCATAGCTGAGAGCCATAATATCATCTTCTTTTCTGAGTTTCATAGCTGCTCAGAAGGTGCAGCTCCACCTACTTTACCACAGTGTGTAACCTCAGGGTATTTTTGCACATCAGGATAGATTTAAGGGGGGGGGACACATCTGCAAAAATATTTTAAGTAGGAGCGCTTCCTGGATTCAAGTTGTTTGTGTGAGGAGGTCTTTGGAAGTGATCTATGATTTAAAACCCCAAGCTCTCTATAAATAAATATCATGCCTTTCTTCTCATAACATGGTCACATTTCACCTAACAGGTTTCAAGCTTAAACCTTAGGAATTTTTCAAATCTTTTTATCTGTATCTTATCTTCCGATCCACTGTTTAAGAGAAATAGAGCTTCGTCTCATAAAGCTTTATGCAAGATCTCTGAATTATATTTAAAAAAAGCTTAAGCTATGCCTCCCTATTTCCAAATAGAGCTTTTCATTATGTTAGCCTCTAATTTCAACTCTTACTTTGCAATTTTGTCTGCGTTCCAGCAGGACTATACACTCATGCCTACTCCATGTATTCTGACTATTTTTGTAAGTATTTCCTTCAAATATTTTCCTCTGATTGTTTCTTTTGACTTTAAACTACCAAGGACTGCTGGTACACAGTCTCAATAACTCATAAATCAGGTCTTCTGATATAACAGGTCTACAACTGTAGCACCTGTTTCTGCTGTAAGTACAGTTAGTCTGTCTGTAGTCTTTTTCATATGACTGCACCTAATTCACACACATACACTGCCACCCGAAATCCAGTAGTAACTACTGGCGTTACCGGTAATATCCTTTCACTACAAATCTGATTAGCACAACAAATTGAAGGAACAGATGGTTATAATAATTCCTGTTTACACTGTAAAAATAAAAATAAACATCCAGTGTTATTCATATTTCTACCAGTGAATTTTCTCTTTCACTTCAGTCTATAGTGGGCACCAAAATATCCATGGGCAAATATAAGTCCACACACAGAATTTGGCCCATACTCTATATAAACAACAGCTTAACTCCTCAACCTTTCTGTTGCTTTGAATGCTCTCAACAATCACACAGCATCTACCCCAATATGCAGCTGACAGCTTTGATAGACTTACATGTAAATGAACGTTCATCAGCTTGCACCAGCAGCACATTAGTAGGAGTTTAATGTATTAAGAAGGCCCGAAGACGTCTAGAAGTGATTACTTTGTACAGTATGACATTAAAACTTAAGCTGCATTATCTAACCTTCTCTTCCTGGTAAAGAACACATAGCATGACTTCATCACTCATATTTTAAAACCACAGTCATATGACCACCTTTCTATCTTAAATGTTTACCCCTTAAAAGCCTGTAAGGAGTAACCCTTGAAGCTCTTTTCTGAACTTTACAGATGCCTGAAAAATGAATAAATAAAAATTTAACATTTTGATTTTAAAACCTGTAAATAGAATAAGAGTAATGATTCATCTCTCTTTATCAACATAAAACTATTGCTCACTATTTCTACCAACATTTATACAATTTAATGTATCATTCTGTTAAACATAATAGGACTAATAGCACAACCTTGGGGAGTACAGTTTGTAATCTCAAAATTCTCACAGAAAAATGACCTTTAATAATGACTTTGCATCCCTGCCTGCATCAAGACACTGAAAGGAGAAAACATAACAGTAGACATTGTGTTGTCTTTAAGTAGACTTAAAAAAAGTTACAACTGCTTCAGTCTTACTGTCATGCTCATTTAATATCAATTAAAGGGTTGTTAAAATTGTCAAAGTAATCCTGGGCAGCATCACTTAATGAAAGAGAAATACTGTAAACGATACTGTTTGCAGGGAAATAACCTCAATAACATGTAAAAGTCGCTGCACTTTATCAAAAAATAAAATAGAAAATAACAGCCAGTAAGTTATATTAGTGATCATTGTTATGCAATAAGATTCTTGCACGTGAGTGTTACTCGTTAACACTTTGAGCAACAAATGAAGTCCTCGTAGTCAGGGTGTTTTCTCATTCATTCATGACATTTCTAAACAAACATCTCATTAGTAGACGTGTTTAAAATATCTTGTGCAGGAACAGTCAACACTGAAGTATTTAACAGTTTAACCACCACTCTGTTATTTGAAGGTTAATTAAAATGTCAGTTACACTTTTGTCCTTGTCATCAGGTGTGTCAAGAGACCTCTCCAGAGTCCAGTGAGGGTCCTGTCCCTTCTAGTCCATCCCGTATGAGCCCTCTCCCACCCAGCCTTCTTGACCCACCAGATCCGGATTTGGAGAGTCAGCCTCCAGTTATCCATGACATTGTAACCAGTTCTCCCAGTGACAATGAGCACCTAGGTGCCATGCCATTTGTCACCAACATTGACATGGGGGCTCCACTGGATATTCCAACTGTTGAAGTCCCCCCATTCGAGTCCGAGGAGTCCTGCTCTGCACCTCTGATTATTGAGATCCCCATCTCTGCAGAGCATGAGCTCCAGAAGCCTGTTGATGTTGGACTGATTCCTGCGAGTCCTCCTGGGGAGAGTCAAGTCTTCAGTGCTGAACCCGAGGTTAACATCCCCACCGAGACCCTTACAGCCACGGATCCCCTGTCTCATGTTGAAGCTGATATCAGCTTTGTTCCAGACAGCACAGAGTCACAAAGCCCAGTCCCCGAGAGCCTGGTGACAGAACATCCTACTGATGAAAGTCCTGCACCAGAGACTGTTGGTTCAGCTGAGGCAGATGAGGAGGCGGCTGTTAAAAATGAGCCTGCAAAGCCATCGGAGCCAGTGAGACAAGATGAGAGAGACGATGAAGAAGGTATTTGATTATCCTACATAAGCGTTTCAGTAAATGTAAAGGCACTCGCACAGTATTCCCAAATCCAGCCAGGCACACACGGCTGTGTATTCTACTTTTCTTTGATTTTTTTTTTTTCTCAGTAGAAATAGATTCTTTCAAAATAATCTTCACATGAGATTATTAGTGATGGCAAAAACAGTGTTATTGGAAATCCACAGTAAAGCCATGGTATGCAAATAGCTTCAAGCACGCAACCTCATTTTAAGAGTTAAATCAAAGAGTGTGGAAGATCCTGCTATGATATATTCTTTGAGTCCTGCAAAATTTATTTTCTAAAACTTAAATTTAAAATCTTCTTTTAGATGAGAGTTGAGATATCTTTTTTTCAACAAGCAGGACAAAAGATTAATAAAATTAATCTTTTTTAACAGAAAAAAGAAAACTAGCGCAATAAGAAAATGTAATTAAACAACACAAGTTTCTCATTTCTGGGGAACCGGTCTTCTTATCCACTGTGGGAAATGTACACCAGAGGCTGAAGTCAGGGCAAAAATTTGTTGTTGGAGTCTTGTGAACGTCTGTCTCCTCTTTCTGTGTGCAGTGAGAAATATACATTACTGTGCAAAAGTCTTCATTTCTTTATATTCTACTAGAAAAATAAGAAATAAGTGCAGTGATTTTCAAAATATGCACTAACATTAAATGAAAATACAATATGCTAACGAGGCTAAAGGTCAGTATATGGTATGACCACCATCTTCACCATAGCCTCTCTTTGGCAAGCGTTCTTCTTTAAGTGGTCTTCAGGAATAGTATCTCCGCAAGGACATTCAAAGCTCTTCTTTGGATGTAGGCTGCCTTTTGTTCTGTTCTCCCACACTGCTTCATTAATGGTGAGGTCCGGGCTCTGGGGAGGCCAATCCATGGCTGATAGTGTTTCACTGTGTTTTTCTATCCAGGTATGCGTTTACTTCACTGGTAGCGTGTTTGAGATAATTGTCATGATTAAAATTAAGTTGTTTCAAATTAGACATTTTCCAGATGAATACTGCAGGTGAATTAAAATCTTTACTATGTTCAGAATTTCATCCGATTTTACAAGATTACCAACACTACTGGTTCTGTCGAAGTTTCTTCCTGTTAAAAGGGAGTTTTTCCTTCCCACTGTCGCCAAAGTGCTTGCTCATAGGGGGTCATATGACTGTTGGGTTTTTCTCTGTATGTATTATTGTAGAGTCTCAAGGCAACTGTAGTTGTGAGTTGGCGCTGTATAAATAAAATAAAATTGACTTGAATAGACACTCACTGTTGCACCTCTCTCCTAACCTCCTCTGTACATATTGGTGACAATTTGAAATAGAAATGTGGATTCATCACTACAAAAGAACTGTTGCCAGTGATTTTTCAGTCCAGTTCTTGTGTAATTTGGCATAATTCTGGCTTTTCTCTTTTTTCTTCATTAAGAATGGTTTCTTGACAGCCATCCTTCCGCTAAGACTACTTCTGTTGAGACTTTAGTGAACAGTAGATGGATCAACTGAGGTCCTGTGTCAGGGCTTTATCTGTTTCTTCCTCTACTGTAGATACTTTTTTTTTTCTTCATTTGTCCTCCCCTCATCCACTTTTAGTTTTTTTAAGGATACACTGCACACTATGCTTATAAGTTTTCAGCTAATAGCTCTTTAGGAATCGTCTTGTTAGTGCAAAATTTTCTGTTTTATGTCTATTAAATCAGAACTTTTGCACAGTTCAGTATGTGACCCTCCCTTTCTTTGTTGTCAGTTAATCTTAAACCCAAACAACTGTAAAATGTCTTTTAATAATGGATGTCTTAAAGCTTGATTTTGACACAGTAACCCTCTTTTATTCTCAATCCCGAGATAAGATGAAATTTTAAGTCAACGTTGTACCTGTGTGTAACAATATTACAGCTGATCTTATTTGTAAAGTGACATACAGCGAGCATCCTGCCTTTAAATATTTGCATCTGGGTCCCAGGCTCTGAGGCTCTTAGCAGGTTTTCCAAGCTGCCTCTGCAGCTTTTGAGGAAAGTAAGTGGTGCTTTATAATAGGAACAAGTTGATAAAAGCAGAAAAATGAGAGAATTTGTTAACATGTTTCTTATCTATGTCTCGCTAGCAGCTGGAAAGCGATTTATCAGTATGACAGGAGAGCCCACACCCTGCTGAGAAAATGATGAAACCCCCATGCATGAAATTACTGTTGTTGTAATTTAGTGAGAAAATGTCATCCATTCTGAGAACCAGCAGTCGCTTTTTTTGTCAGACACTTTTCACATGCTGTTTACACGCTGTTGTGTTTTGCAGCTCATTTGCTCACTTAGAGTCTGGTATTCTGCGTGAGGAAGTCGCCAGCACATAATTATTCACTTCTGACAAAGATGCCACAGATGTTGAGATGATTTGTTGAAGTGACTCCAGCCCACAGTTGAATACATGTGGTTTAGGTTTAGGCACATTATCATCATCTGTCACAAAAATACAACAGAAAACGTGACAGATCTTTGCTGTCTTGCCATTTCTTTCTCATGCTTAGAATTTCTTCTTATTTCCTTCTTACATTTTTCCTTTCTTAGAGCCTTCCATTAGGTATGACTCGGGTGACGCTGGCAGCTTTGATGATGGGCTGCGGCGGAGAAATGTGCCCACCTTTGAGGCACAGAGACCAAGAACATCAGACGAGGAGGATGAGGAAGAGGAAGTAGAATTCAAGCTGGCTGAGAAGAAGGAGGAAAAGCCATGGTTCTCCTTGAACAAATGCATTGTGGGTGCTCTGGTCTTGCTATTTCTAGGTTCCCTCTTTCTCTCAGGTCAGTTCCTCTCATAACTAAGGTAGCTAGCTTGGTTCTGCTTTTATTGTTTGATTTAGTGCAGTATTGTGGCTACAATTTGTATGCTGCACATTAACAGTAAGAGTGAATGCTTTAATACCATAAATTATAATATTTATAGAACTGTGCAAAAATCTTGAGCCACACTGTATCTTTAAACTTTGCTTTAAAGTGCTTTTGAGCAATAGTTCTCAGGTTTTCCTGACTATTTTCAGAGTCCTCTGGCCTATGAATCATTCAAGCATAAACGGACGAACCAGTGTTTTGTCTGCACACAACCGAAAAGAAAACAACGGTTTTTATGAGCAGCCTGATGCAAAAAAACAGATAATTTTTTCCCATTTCTTTACATGAATCTTCAAAAAACAACTTTCAGACTTTTTAGAATTGTACAAGCTCTGTTTTTGTCTCATATGCCGTGTTTTGGTATATGTTTGTGTCCCATCAAAACATAAAGAAAAGAGGGGTTGGCTCAAGACTTTAGCACAGCACTGTATGTTAAAATGTCAGAAAAGAAACCGTGATCTTCCTACGCAGCATCAGAGTTTGGCAGTGTTAGGCAGCATTAAGAGTTTAGAGTAAATATTGCCATAAATTTCCATCATTTCACAGTTTCTGTTTGACAATGACAGTATTTACGAGTTACATAAGCACCTTTATTTGCTGTTGTCAGCAATAGTTAGATGTCTGCTTTCAGATCTTGTTGACTAAGCTCTACTATGTCAACAGGCTTCCACAGTGACCTGGATAATGGTAGGTCCAGAGCTAAAGATAAGGCAGCAGTGTAAGCTTCTGCGCTCACTGGCTAATGCTCAATAGCTTGCCCAAGCACTTATCTGGGCTGACAGTTGATGCTGCGGCAGCAGAAAAAGGCAAATAACATGCATTCTGAATTTTAACGCTCCTTATAATATTTTTGAAGGACTCACTGAATGTTTTCTGGGGTTTAAATTAAATGGGAAGGTGTCTAATGCAGTCACACTGTGTTGAAGGCAAAATATGCCATACTTATTAATGAAATGGAAAAGAAAAACAGTTGGTGTGGTGTGCAGTGAGTGGCCTGAGCTCATAAAGTTCACTTGAGCATCTTGAAAGGCAGCATGGCAGTTGTGTGTCAGTGAAAGTGCCTGTGGAAGGACTCGTTCTAAAACGTTGTCTTCCTGTCTGACAGGTGACTTTGACGCCTCCGATCTGAGTGACGCAGAACAAAGCCAGGTCTGTTTCCACAGATTCTTGCTTCACATGATCATGTGATATGAAAATTTTAAAAACAAACATAAAGAAATAGACATTTTTTTAAAAATATGTGTTCTATTCATGTGCCAATGATTTTAAATCCAGGACGGGCTTAGCAGTGATCCACAGGATATGAAAGAGCTATTGGATAAACTGACACAGGAAAACCAACAAATCATTCAGCTAGAGGCACAACTTCAGGTCAGTATGGAGTCACACTGATGCTAATTATTTAGTTTTAATTGGTTTTATGACGTTTCAATGAATGTTTTTAATTGTTAAACAACTTGCGCAGCACCTTAATTTACCTACAGCTTTGTCCACGTTATAAACTGTCACTATTTGACCATATTTTTCAGTCTAAGAAAGAAGAACTTGACTCAGCACTGAAGGCGTTAGCAGCAAGTGGCGATAAAAAGGCTGAAGCAGATCTGGAAAAAGAAAATGCAAAGCTGAAGGAGGAGCTGTCATCTCTGCCAGAGCTGAAGAAAGAGCTCGAGACTCTCAGAGCCAGAGTGACTGAACTCAGCCAGCTCGCAGGTATAATGTGACGACTACATCGCCCTTTAAGTTTATACTTATTGAACGTATCCTGCATGCGTAGAGACACGCTGGTAACGACCAAGGTCATTTTAAGTTTGATATATTAAATCCTTCACAGCTGATCAGGAAATACTTCCAGCTGCATCTAGTTCGGCCCCACAGCTTGAAGACAAAGATGGTCAAAGTAACCAGAAAACACCTGGACCAGAGAGGGGGAGGGACGCAAAGCAGGGAGGAAGGCTGAAGGAAGAACTCCATCGGCAGAAGGTTCTTTTGGAGGAGAGCAAGAAAAGGCTGGACGCAATGAAAAAAGATGGAGGCAAGAGAAAACAGGTCAGGGATCACTTGGAGGAGATCCAAAGGAAACTCTCCAAAGAAGTTGAGATGTGGGGGAAGAAGAAGCCCCAGGAGTCCAAATGGAAAGGGAACAAAGGCAAACACAATGAGCGGGACCACTACAAGAAAGAGGAGAGGGGAGGAGAGAAAGGGTGGAAGCACAACAACGAGGGAGAATGGAGGGATAAAGAAGAGAAGAAGCAGAGAAAGGTGGAAAAAGAGTGGAAAGATAAGGAGGGCGAATGGAGGCACAAAGACGAGAGCGGGGGACGAGGAAAAAAAGAGTGGAAAGACAAGAAGGAGGAAGACTGGAGGCATAAAGATGAGAGGGAGCAAAGAGGAGAAAAACAGTGGAAAGACAAGAAGGAGCAAGACTGGAGGCACAAAGACGAGAGGGAGCAAAGAGGAGAAAAACAGTGGAAAGACAGCAAAGAGGAAGGGTGGAGAGACAAAGAGGAGAAGAATGAGAAAGACTGGAAGCCTCAAAAGCAAAACTCTCATAAAGAGGCTTGGAGGAAACACCAGGACGAGTGGGAGAGCAAGAAGGGTGAGAGGAGAATGGACAGAGAGGAGAGGAGGAAGGAGAAACCGTGGCACAGCCGGTCTGCTAAAAACCACCAGCACCAACATCACCATCAGCAGCCCCGCCATCCTCATCAGCACCACAACAACGATTTCTGGAGAGACCAGGAGCAAAAGCTCCAACGCAATGTCCGTCCCCAGCTGGGCTGCACTTCCGTGGAGGACTGCGCCAGCAAGGAGGGGCTCTATCCAGTGGAGCTGTCAGAGTTTGAGGAACTTCTGGAGGGCTACCTGAGCAAGCTTGAAAGGTCATCATCAGAGAGCAAGGATAGGTTCAGGAGGCTGACCGCAGACTACTTTGAGGACGCCGTGTTCATCCACGACAGGATTCGTTTCAGCGACTTTGCTGAGGACGTGGCAGACATTTTGGAAGACATGGTGGATGTTTTAGAGGGCGACGGGAAGAAGGACGACGACTCCCTGGAGGAGGAGATGGAGGAGTTTGAGCGAGAAGCCCTGTGGAAGTTTGCTGCAACGGCTTAAAAAAACGGCTGCAGAGAGGAAACCAGTGGTGGTTTTATAGGACATTTCTTGCCTTCGGAGCTGTAATAGTAGTAGCTTCTGGCACAGAGTGTTTGTGCCTCTCATAAACATGTCTCTGAGTCTGTAATTATAAGCTAGACTTGTATTTGTCATCTTGGACTTAGTCGTTGTTACCTACCTCTGTCGAGTCATGCCTCCTAAAGCAAAGTCCTTCAGTAATGTGTTGTGTGAATTTCCTCTGCTGTTTAGTGATTTACACACGTGTAGTGCATGTTACAGTTCATTATAATGTCAGTTTAAATTGATCACACAGATCACAGAAGATGGTATTTGCAAATAACCATCAGCACAACTTATATACCGTTATATAAGTTGTGAATAGAAAAAAAAAAGGGGGGGGGGGTATTTATGTCATTTTATCTTGTATGGGAGCCTGACTAATCTCTACTCCAAGCAGGTTAAAAAAATACTAGAATGTTTTTGCAGATAGCATTTATCCCTGCTCGGGTGTGACTGTCCAATCCCAGAGGATGAGATCCCGGTCCTTTCAGTGATAACAATCAGATCAGGTCGGACCAGTTTTCTGTCAGCAGCGCTTTATTTGGCCAAACACACACAGAGGACTGCCTGAGAGGGCCTGATTTCTAGATTTGAAGAACTTTTCCATCCTCTTGGCCGACGGCAGACGTGTGGAACAACCAGGAACCAGTTTGTGCTGCTCAAGAAAAAAAAAAAAGCAATAGCCATAGTTAAGTTGAACATTGCTAAATCACTTTAGCACTTTTCTCAAACATATGAGAACCGTCTTTTTTTTCATTTTCTGTTTCCAATTAGATTTATTTTAAATAGGCATTTTTTTTGGGAGGGGGGACAGGTTTTTTTGTTTGTTTGTTTGTTTGTTTGGTAGTGTATCCATGGAGACTGCTAACACCGCTACTCTTACTCAGTATCCCACAATCTGACCCATATGGAAAAGATATATATAAATCTTATAAAGTTTGTATCTGTCTTGTGTGAAACTTGTATGAAAAGCATACAAGCGTGAAAACAGATATAAGATCCCTTGAAAAATTATATAATGAAACTTGTATGTTTTGGATACTTACTAAAACAATATATGAAAGTAATGAGAAAGTGGCCACTTTCATGAGTAAATCATGTAAGTTTTTACTATTTCTTTTCCATATGGGGAGTACAATTAGAGAGGTTAGTGAGCTGAAATAGTTTCATTTACTTAATCTGTTAATTTGCCAAAATTAAATTGGCAACAAAACAAACATATATATACACATATTTTTTCCTTTTTTCTCACGCATAGATTTGAAGTGGCATGCGTGGCAGTGACCTAGACATAGCTTTGTTGTTTTTAGGTGATATAAATAAGCACGAAAAAAAAAAACCATTTTATTTTTAATTTTATTTTAGTGTAGGTAGGTGAACCAGCACAAAGCAAAGTCCAAAATATATTTCAGAATTACTTTAAAATTGTGAAAAAATAGTTGTTTTATTTGTGTTTTGATTGTAGTGAAATTTGACTTTTCCCTCTATTAGTGGATGTGAAGTTGAACAGATTGTGATTGTTTTCTCTCAGCAGTGATTTCATGTTTATTTATTGTCTCACTACAGTGCATCTCTTTTTCTTATTTTTAATGAGAAGAACCACAGATTTTATCCCGGGCCGTATGCTTTGAATGTGAAAATGGTGACATTTTCATTAATTTAGCTTGCCAGCTCCTGCTTATGTGCCTTTTATTATATTACAAATCCTTTTGATTAGACGAGAGGTAGTTGATTTTATCAGCTTCTGCAAAGATTAGTAAAAAAAGCAAGTTTACGCGACTTGTAATTTTACTGCTGTTTGAATGAATGTCGTAGAGTTTACACATAAAAGATTGAGCTGATGTTAAGTTTTGGAGAAGTATGTTTTGTCTTTTTGAAGGTGTCCAGACCAAAGGATTCAGAAGAACGCTAATCACAATGGATGAATCTTTTAATGAAGCAGAGTTTAATGAATATTTGAGGACTATTTTTGTGTTTGTGGGACAACAGTAAAGCTCTGTGCTTACCGATAATGTAGGACCTGACTCAAACATGCATGTAATTGATTACTGGACTATTTCTAGTTATTCCCCCAATCAACAGTTATGTCCTCATTTTGAAGATCAATATTAAGTTCAATAAATCTTTCACCCTTGATACGTAAACAATGTCTTTATTTAATCATTTCTATTGTTTCAAAATATTCAGACGTTTTTCTTTTTATACGATACTCCTGTACATGTTCCACAAGCAACTGTAAATGGTATTACTGCAAGGTGGAGGTGTTTAGGAGCATGTGGCCCTAGTGGTTTACTCTTCTTCACCTAACAAGTCAAAGGTCCCCAGTTCAACCCTGAGAGGAGAAGCAAATCCCTTGGGTGTCAGGAAGGGCATCTGATATACCAAATGAAGTATGTGCCGTAAATAAGGGACATATTTACGGACATGAACTTTGCTTATTGGAAGTGTTTAGGTACAACAGTAACTCATCCGCAAAGTGGCACTCTGCATAAAGTTACAACATCCTCTGGCGTTAGCATGAGCACAAAAACTGTGTGGCAGCAGTTTCACTGCATGGGTTTCCATGGGTGAACAGCTCCTGTTGGTGGCACAGTGCTTATGTCTATACGGTGTACAACTATTGCTGCCTATATCCCTAGTATTTGTCACAGTGATAAGTATCAGTATCAGTGTGACCTGTGAGCATTTTTGAAATTGTACCGAAAAACGTAACGCCAGATACGCAGCTTACTGGAAGTCTTTAGATGCCGTGTGTGCACGATATCCGACTCATTCTGAGTGTGAAGTGAAAGTGTTGGCACGACAGGCATCTAGCATCACAGCTGTGATTGCAAACTGAAACATTTACACCCAGAAAAAATACTCAACAGCTACACGTTCACAGGCACGAACGCACTTTGCTCACGCTGATACGACAGTCGCAGACCTGACACGCTGATGAACAAGAATGTCTCTCAGCGACTATGAAACTGCAGTGAAAGCTTACCATTCTTTAAATTCTACATACCAGTCATTATAGAAATGTTTCAGTACATTTGTGCTTCCTTCCGAGTTGGGCCCTCTTTACATGTCCATCGTGGAGACGTGATCTCATTTAAATGAAAAGGATGACTGGAAGGGTCATTAAAGCGCAGACTGATTTTCAGCTATAAAACATTGAGACAATCCTGAGGAAGTGAAAGACAAGTAAAATGCTGAGGGGGAAAAAGATAAAATGTCTAAAGTTTAAATGTTGTTTTAATCTTTTTTCAGAAGTTTAATCAGCTTAGTGCAGTTGGAAAGGCTCACACATGACACTGTGTGTTTGTACCATATTATTTGAGTCATGTTTTGTATAAACTAATTACTGCTTAGGCATGCATGATTCGGTCACTTGATAAGAATGGCCTGATGCTACCACTAAATGCCTTGCTCTGCAAACTGAAATGGGTTTTGTGCTATCGTTAGTACAGTTTTGCCCTTTGTAGGGCAGAATGGCTGTTTTCTGTTCTGTGTGTGTG